CATTCATTCATGCATGTGTATATCATGAAGTTTTGAAGTTGTTTTTACAAGAATTCTCACATGCATGTTTGTATCTTGGTTTTGTTAAAAGAATTCAACATGTTTTTTAGCTTAATGACTCATTTGATCATGTTTTGGAAGGTTGGAATTCATGACATTACATGCAACTTATGTTCTTTAAGTCTCAAGTTTTGTTTTGTACAATTGGCAATACTTTTGGGCTTGATTTTGTGAAATGGTTTGTACTTCATCTTGTTTTATGAGTTTCTCAATGTTTTGGCCCAAAATGATGTGTATTGAAGGTTTAAAATTGGATTTTGAACTTAGAACTGCAATTTGGAAATTTCAGAATTCTACATCACTGTTCGAGCGGCCACCCTTTGTCTTGCACTTTTGCTCGAGCGAACAAAAGTTGGCTTGAGCGTAAAATTCATACTCCCAGTACTTTTGTAGAGTTTTACAGACAGCTCGAGCTACTGAAGTTGTGCTCAAGTAGAGACCCTGTTTACTCAGTCTTTGGCTAGAGCTATTGTCGAGCGTCCGTCAAGCGAAAAAATCAAGCAACCAGTACTTTTATAGACTTTGCAGGCCGCTCGAGTGACCGCAGTTACTCGAGTGGACTGCCATGTTTTTGAAAATTTGACTAAGTGTTTCAAATCACATTTTGGCATCCTTATTGCATCTTAGGCATTCCTAAGCCGTAATTAAGACATAATAATGAGGATAAAGATTAGAAACACACCCAGACAAGAAAGAAATAAATTAAATAATTTCTGAGCGTGTGTTTCAACGTGTATTTGTTTTGTGTTTGTATAGTTCACATGCTATAGGCTATCTAGTTATTTTCTCTGTTTGTCTACTTTATCTGCTTTGTCTGTTTGCTATTGAAGCCAACTGTGAGTAATAACTTTGTAAAGTTATGTTCACTAACAAGTATTTTTTGAATGATGCAAGATGATCTATTTTCTGAAATGTTATTTTCTGTATGAATGAATGGTTGTCCAATTTTCTGAAATGTATTCGTGGTATCTTTAGCTTCAGATGACATTTGTTATCTTTTCTGTTATGTCCCAATTATGGGCCAACTATACATCTCATAAGCCAACTATTATGGATCCTTCTGTATACGTCCTATTTATAGGCCAACCGTACATCTCACGAGTCAACCATACCGTCTCCGTCCACGTAAGTCAACTGTATGCCTTCATAGCCATCCCTTTATGGGTCAACTGTTTCTGTTAGTGCTAATGGATGTACCACGTCCGATTAACTGTAAATTCTAATTATGAATATGATTCTGATTCCATTTTTGTTATGAATACTGATTTCTGAACAAGAATATAAATCCACTTCTAATATAAGCTGAGTTTTATTTTCTATATCTATTATGGACAACATTCATTAAACCCTTTACTTTGTTATTATTTACTGGGTCCAACTCATTCTATTATTTATGTATGTAGGTGATCAGGCGCATGACTAGGCTGAGTGGATTTGTCTGAGTCAGCCAAACCAATGTGCCTCATGAAGAGGTTCCTGAAAAGCTTAAGTGTGGTCAAATTCTATGCTGACAGTTTCTGTTTTTGTTCACTGTCTTTTTGTTTTCTTTTGTATCTGAATATTGGGTTAAGTCCCATTCTGTTTTGTCTGTATATCAAGTGACGTAGGACTGTTGTTTATTTAACATCACTTATATGTATATAAAGCTTTAAATTTTCAGTCCCATGCATGTCTGCACAGCTCTATGGACATTATTTTCTGTAAGTTACTTCCGTTAACCCCTTAATTATATGTTATTTTGTACAAAGGCCTTTGGTAATCCAAGGATTACTGGCCGGTTACAACGCTAAACCTGTAGGGGTGGGTTTGGGTCATGACAGAGTGGTATCAGAGCACGTGTTCTATCGCACACACAAGTCCATATGAGCTATAGGATGTCCTAGTAAAAATTAGGGACATTGCACTTGCATGACTTTGAAATGAACTGAACACTATGAAAAGAATTATTTGCCTTTGTTTATTAGTGCTTTATTTACCTATAGCAAATGGAAAATACAAGAAGTAATGGTATAGCTGAATCTTCCGAGACCCGGATGAATCGAATGGAATGAATGCTTGAAGCTTTGATAGAAACAATAATATAACAACAAAGACAACAACCTTTGCTTCCTCCGCCCCCTCCGGTCCAAGCAGAATCGGTAAACAATGACATCATCAGCTTGACTCAGAAATTCAATAAGATAAAGCCACCGACTTTCTTGGGTGGAATTGAACCTTTAAAGTCTGAAACGTGGATGCTAGAAATTGAAAAACTATTTGAAGTATTTCCATGTACTGTGACTTAAAAAGTTTTGTTGGTCACTTACACGCTGAAGGACGAAGCCCGACGTTGATGGATGATTATCCAAGATAACAATGGAACTTTAACTTGGACCAAATCAGAGAGATTTTCTATGAAAAATACTTCCCACGGTGTTTTCGAGACCGAAAAGTATCTGAATTCTAAGAACTCAAGCAAAACAATATGTCAATAGCAGAGTATGAAGCCAAGTTTACCGAATTGGCCCAGTTTGCTCCACACATGGTGGATACTGATTACAAAAAGGCTAGAAAATTTGAAGGAGGCTTGGCTTCAAATGTGTTTGATCGGGTCGGTGTATTAAAATTTCCCAAGTATGTGGATGTGCTTGATAGAGCTCTAATTGCAAAAGCTAATTTGGCCGCAATGAAACAAGTGAAAGCTCCAACAACTGAATGGAAAGGCAAAAGGTCTGGATCCAATTTCAAAAAAGGTCGTTTATTTCCTATGACTAAGAAACAAAATACGGGATCCACTAGCAATTCAAGTCAAAATAATGGATCTGTACCAGTTTGTGCTGATTATGGAAGAAAACATAGGGGTGTGTGTCATCGTGTATCTGGTGCTTGATTTCGGTGTGGCAAGACAGGCCACATGGTAAGAGATTGTCCAATTGGGTCCAAAAATGCCAACCGCCATATAGCAAGTTCAGCATGATCTGCTTCTGCACCAAGAAGAAATTTCAAAACTAATGCTGGGAGAGAACCTTTGAGGCAAGGTCGAGTATTTGCACTTGTGGCTGGGGATATGCAGAACACTGAATCCGTGGTGTCAGGTATACTCCATATTTATGCCCAAAATGCATATATTTTGATAGATTATGGATCTTCATACTCGTTTGTGTCGTATGCTTTTTCACGAAAATTGACTAGACCACTAGAATCCATGAATTATTCGTTATCTGTGTCTACACCTTTTGGGGGTTCTATGATGTGTGCATATGTATATCCTACGTGTGACATTATGATTGGTGATGTACTATTATATGCTAACTTGATGCCTGCGGCTATTGATCATTTTGACTATATATTGGAAATGGATCGGTTGACCAAGTATTATGCCACCATTGATTATGTGAATAAATTTGTTGTGTTCCAGTCACCTGGGTTGTCTGAGTTTGTGTTTTTGTAGAAGTGGTGTAGTTCCTCTCTCATATTTGATATCCACTATAAAGGCCAATAAACTGTTGAGAAAGGGTTGCCGGGGTTATTTGTGTTGCATATTGGCTATGTTTATCGATAATGTGAATATAGAAAATATCCTTGTAGAGAATGAATTTCCTAATGTTTTCCCAAATAAACTGCCTGGGGATCTAATAGCTAGGGAAATTGAATTCACCGTTGATGTATTGCCTGGGACACAACCAATTTCTAAAACCTCTTACAGAATGTCAACCTTCGAATTAAAAGAACTGAAAGTCCAACTTCAAGAATTGTCAGATAAGAAGTTTATCCGATCGAGCATTTCACCTTGGGGTGCTTACGTTTTATTTGTCAAAAAGAAAGATGGGTCCTTGAGGCTATGTATTGACTACCGTGAATTGAACAAAGTGACCATTAAGAACAAATATCCATTGCCCTGAATAGATGATTTGTTTGACCAACTCCAGGGAGCCCAAGTCTTTTCAAAAATTGACCTTAGATCCGGATATCACCAATTGAAGGTTAAAGAAGAAGACATAGAGAAAACCGCCTTCCAGACTAGATATGGGCACTATGAGTTTTTGATAATTCCATTTGGGGTAACTAATGCACTTGTAGCATTCATGGACTTAATGAATAGGGTGTTTAAACAATTTCTTGATGAGTTTGTAGTTGTTTTCATTGATGATATTTTGATTTACTCCAAAAATAGAGAAGATCATGAAAACCATTTAAGAACTGTGTTATAGATTCTGAGGGAAAAAAAATTGTATGCAAAACTCTCTAAATGTGAATTCCGACTTGATTGTGTGACATTTCTGGGGCATGTGATCAACAAGGATGGCATATCAGTAGACCCGCAGAAAATTGAAGCTATTAGAGCATCTCCAACCACACTCTTTATTTTTCACTAGCTAAAGTATAAAAAAATGACACTCTTTATTTTACCTAATTAGTTTAGCTATTGTGTGTTTCAACCATACTCTTTATTTTAGTTAGTCATTCAAACTAATTTAACCAATTTTCAAAACAAAAAATGCCATATATATATATATATATATTACTCTTTTTCATAGAATGCCACATATGCACCTACTCTCTAATATGGTTGCCAATGTGACATTTGCAATAATATTTTTAAAAATAATATTTTTTAATATTAGTTTTAAAAATATTATAAAAAATAATTTTAAGTAATATTTATTTTTTTATTATAAAATTTATAGTATGTGAATACATTTGAACATATGAATTTGGTGGAACCATCTTGAAAGGAATGGAGGGGAAGAATAAAAGAAAACAATAAAGATTTTTTTTAAAAAATAACAATACAAAGGAAGTTCTTCAATAATTATAATTTATAAAATTAAGAACCGAAAGAACACAAATTAACTAATTAAAAACCTTACTAAGGTCAATGAATAAATAAGAAAAAAAATCATAAATAGCAAAGTTAGGAATAAAATTCAAAATAAATAAACTATTTCTAACACTAATTGTTACAAATCTCCATGTAGATGCCACAAATGCTCAACTAGGCCTGCTTGGAGTTTAGAATGAGTTTGTCTATCTCTTATGCGATGATGATTTTGAATGAAGTCATAAAGTTCGGGTGTACGCTCGTGTGACACTGCTGGAGGGAGAGTTTCATCGATTGCATCATAATTACAGTCTATATTTTGTTCATTTCGCTCATCCTCAACAATCATGTTATGCAATATTATACATGCCTTCATAATAAATTTAAGGGTTTCAACTTTCCAAAAACGTGCAGGTCCTCGCACAATTGAGAAATGTGCTTGGAGCACTCCAAATGCTCGTTCGACATCCTTCATTGCTGACTCTTGAGCCTTAGCAAAATGTATTTGCTTATTGCCTCGTGGAGATGGAATTGTTTTAACGAATGTTGACCATTGAGGATATATACCATCAGCGAGATAATATCCCATTGTATAGTCATTTCCATTAATTGAGTAATCAACTTGGGGAGCACGCCCTTCAGTAAGGAGAGAAAATACAGAAGAACGTTCTAACACATTGATGTCGTTATGAGATCCCGGTAATCCAAAAAATGCATGCCATATCCATAGATCATAGGAAGCCACCGCTTCTAAAATAATAGTTGGTTCATGGATATGACCACAATACATACCTTTCCATGTAGTAGGACAATTCTTCTACTTCCAATGCATACAATCAATGCTCCCCAACATTCCAGGAAACCCACGATTTTTTCCCACCTCTAGTAATTTAGCAATGTCATCTTTGTTTGGTGCCCTCAAGTACACATCTGAAAAAATTGCAACCACTGCCTGAACAAACCTTTGTAGACTTTCTATTGCAGTGCTTTCTCCAATCCTCACATAATCATCTACAGAATCGGCCGCTACTCCATAAGCGAGCATCCTCATAGCCGCTGTCATCTTTTGAAGGGAAGACAGACCAAGAACTCCAATAGCATCTTTCTTCTGGACAAAATAAGGATCATATGCTTCCACCATAGATAAAATACGAAGAAAGAGATATCGACTCATCCGAAACCTCCTCCTAAATAAATTGGGCGGATATATAGGCGTTTCAGAGAAGTAATCTTGATAAAGTCTCTTGTGGCCTTCAATTCGATTACGATAAATAACTGTATGACCTTGAATAGAACCACGACGTAATCCCAATTGCCTCTCATTATTTAGCTGCTCTTCTTCTAAAGAAGCTATTGCAAATATCTCCAATTCATTACCAGAATCAGAGTCATCAATAATCATCTTCATTACACTATTGCGAGCCATGGAAATTAAAAGAAGAATGAAGCTGAGTAATAAGCAACTGAAAATAAATATTAGGTTGTGTTTTGCTTCTTAAGCTTTGCAAGTTTCTGCCTAACAACTTCAATTTTCTGCAAAGTCAAATTTATAAAACATATCAAACAACTTCCAAAATCAAAACACCAGCAACTTACATAATCTGTATTTAATTGATCAACAAATAGAAATGTCCTGTAAATAAAAATCACTCCAATCCAACATACAATAAGAATTATATTTAGCCATTGAGTACTTCAGCAAGCATTCAACGAGAATTCCACTCAGTAATTAAATTACTATTAGTTCAACCATTCAACAATAGGTAGTTCCAAAAAACTTTTAACATATAATAAATAATTCCAACATAAACTGCATAAAAAACATAGTTCTTCCTACAATGGAGAATCAAATCCAACAATAAATAAAGTGAAAAACATAGTTCCAACAACTAAATTTTTTTTGGGTAGTTCCAACAACTAAATCTTTTTTTGGAGAATTTCCATTTGGCGGCGATGAAGGTATTCTGCTTGCAATGAAGGCAGACCACTTGTATCTATTGACATTATTCGCTCTTCCTCCTTCAATTGTTCCATTCGTATCTTCTCTTTCTCATTATCAACCTTTTCTTGTTCCGTTTGCATCCTCTTTTTCTCATTATCAATCTTTTCTTGCTCTTGAAGATACGACCTTTCATACATCTCTATTTTCTTGTCATTCATTTTCTTTCTATATATCTTCCTTTAAATCCTCTAATAATATTAAAATATGTGACCCTCCTTCATTTCCACGGTCTTTATTCTTTCTTTTATTCAAACGTTCCTTTTTAGCTTTCCTACCCGGTGGTCTTTCCAAGTCTACATTGTCATTATGTGAAACATCATTGTCCTCTAAATTGATTGAATCCGGTGCACTAGGAGAACAAACGCCTGGAGTTGCCACTTTTTTTGGTTTTTGTTTCTTCATGCTATATTCCTCTCGCCATTTTGGTTGATCTCTTAACTCATGCCAACAATGTTCAAATGGAAATGACGATTTGTACAACTCTTTGTATAATTTCTTCGCATCAAGAATCTGAATAATAGATAAAAGAACACTAATTATCATGAGATTAGACAATTCCAATGATAATAAGTATAAAAAACTCAATGGCATTAATACCTTATCTTTGTCAGTCTTTCCACTTTGATTCAACCTTTGGATTTGGGCGAAGCACCCACTGAACTTATTCGTGGCAAGTTGAATTGCTGACCAACGGTTCATTAAAGAAGTTTGACTACAATTAGATGAAAAAGTTTTGTACTGGTGGAAATACTCCCACACTCTTAGCCAATAAGCCTTTGATTTTTGTTCATTCCCTTGCACTGGATCTAAGCTAATGTTAAGCCACGCCGATATGAGCATACTGTCTTCTTCTGTAGTGAAGTTGCCACCTCGTTGTGGTTTCTTGGTGGTTTCTATTTGAGGAGAGATTGGGGAAGACTGATCCCCTTGGTCAAGAGGTTCATCCATAAATTCATAATCAGTCCCATCATTCATCAAGTTGGTGAAATATGCATCATTTTGTTGCTGACTCATCTATACACAAGGTAAACAAAATTATGGCAACATATATTGGGTTGGAGAAATAACTAAGATTCCCAATTGGAAGCAAATTAATAAATAGAGATCATATAAGAATAATTTATTTGACTAAGAAACAATTATTTGGAATTTGATGTGTGGATATCATTTTTCATTTTTTACTAGGTACATTGAGTTGGATAAAGGATCATATTTAGCTTATGAAATGAGAATTAATGGGTAAGGAATAACAATTTTTTAAAATTAATATACACTCCATGCTTAAAAAAATAGAACATAAGTCAATATAAAATGCCAAAAATATTTAAGATGGTTATTGAACTGGTTTGAGGTTGATTTACTAAAATCTGTTTAAGTTGTCTGGTTTGAGGGTTTGACTTCGATTTTATGCTTTGTGTAATGTCTCTGGTCTATGTATAAATACTTGCAATTATTATAATGTTTTGGCAGTGGCACACTCATCAAATAGTCTACATCAGCCTAGGTGATCTTACCAATTTTCAAGGTGACCAGATGTTGTATGATGTACACCTATAAATGTATAACTATTAGACATTCCAGAATGATTGATAACATTCAAAGGAGAGTGTGTAGGTTTTTCAGAAATACACTTAGTTAACAAAATCCATTGCTGTCAACCAAGGCAGTGTTTGTTCACAGCAATTCCTGAATCTCTCAAATACAGAACAGAGTGGAAAAGACCTGTTAAAAATTATTTCATTGTAAACAAGTCATAGAGAGCTTCACAACAACCAAAAAATCCATCAAGTCAGGGATCAATGCACCCTCAGGTATTGGATCCGGGCTATAAAATTTTGACCCAAGGTCTCCATAGCCCAGCGAGACGAATAACTCACTTTCATCAGAAAATAAATAAATAAATAAATATAAATAAAAAATAAAAAAATATCTCAAAGGTTTATTGCAATCCAAAATTGGAAATGTAACATGTAACAAAATTTTTGCACTAATTTCTTATCTTACATAGGATTTGCAGTAAGCTCCAATAGACTCAAGGTCAGCAAAGGCTGGTTCTAGCATGGAGGGAGGATTCCTGATGTAGAGTGTGGAAGGGAAAAGAGGGACTAATTTAGAATTTCACATAGAGCACAATATAGTTTGACTTGTTTAGGATCAATTTGGGTCATACTTATAATTTTTGAGTTACAATGTTGTTGGACTAATTTGTCTATGTTTTACTAAGTTTTAGACATGGACCATGGGTTGTATCAAGTTTCTAGCTATGTTTTCGGATCTCATATATGGTTCTCTAGTTTGCAGATATATATATATATATATATGTTGAGTGTCTTAGTTGTTTAATTTTGAAGTCAAAATTCAAGTAGAATTAGTACTTTTTGTGTTATGTGAAGCTTTTAAAAGAATAATCGAATTTATGTAGAAGAGTTTTTGGAAACTTGCCCAAGTGTTGCCTATAATTAGAGTTGTGGTGAGTTTTGGGTAGGAAAAGATTGTATGGTTAGAGTTTTAACAGGTAGAAGACAGAATTTATGATTTGGCAAGGAAGAAGGCCGGATTTTGGCTTGATTTTTGAAATGGCAGATTATGGGATTTCTGAAATATTAGTTGCAAGAATTCTTTGAACAACCAGAGTTTTGATTTAGGTGCTAATTCAAAGGTACAAAGGTAGGGGAAGGGTAAGGTTGAATTTATCTTGTAATTTCACCTTTTGTTAATTTCCTTGGAATATATTCGTCTGCAATGCACAATTCAATTTCTCTCTTGGTTTTCTACCTTCAGACTGTAAAGTATCTGATTGCCCCTCACTGTGATCTACATGGCACATGGGGGTTGTTGGCTGGCATGTTCTTTCAGATTTTTGCAGCCCTATGCTTTATTATATATACTTAGTTTGGTCTATGTGATGGAGCAGTTTAGAAGTTAAAGCTTGTTTGAAAGTTAATTAGTGGGATTGTGGGTGTGTTGGGGGAAGCTCATCCTACCTGATTGAATGAAGAAGGCCAAAAGAGCACTTGCATTGATAATATTTCAGTCCTGTCTTCTTCAAAAGAGACAAGATACAGCTTGAACTGAGATTTAATCACCATAGCTAGTTGCTTGTAATGTATCATACATATAAGTATTATGTGCATATAAATGTGTTTGTTCATGTGCTCGTCATGTTCGAAAGATGCATGATACAGCTTAAAGTGAGACTTAATCACCACTAGTTGCTTGAATTTGATAATGTGTCATACGTATGGGTATTATGTGCATCTAAATATGTGTTGTTCCTGTGGTTGTGAGTTCTCTAATGGTTTTAATTACTTACTAGTCCAGATTCTTGTTCTGCATTTGAATAGCATTCTCACGATCTTTGGTGGTTTTAAATCATGATTACTTAACACTCAATATGCTTGCTAGATGGTAAAAAACTTGGTATTCTATCAGTAAAAATAAGTACAGGATTCAAGCCAACAGGTGGGATTCTAAAGTGATTAACTAGAGAAATTCATGTGCTCCTTGGAAATGCATTTCTAAATTGTTGGATTTATTCTATGATTTAATTTGTTTCATGAGGATAAAATTCTTAGAATATGTAGAATTAAGGTCCATCTTGCAAAATCATTCGCAACACAAAAACACAAAACACAAAAACAGAATAGTAAAGTATCAATGTATGCTTGAACTCACAGATCAGACCGTCAAGTACACATATAAATTGTTTACAGATTGTAAAACCAAGAAAATGGGAGAGACCAGATTACAGAGGAACAAGGAAAGTTTGTGCTATACATGCATATATATATATATAGAGAGAGAGAGGGTTTATGAGTTGCATAGAAGGGGAAGACAGAGAGATAGAAGGATCCATACCTTGAGGAAGAGGTCAATGGAGGGAGTTGCAGACAACGTTGAAGGAGAAGATCGATTTCACTGAAAGAGCAGATCGATTTCGCGGGAGAGACGTGTTTGGAGATCAATTTCGCGCTGAAGAAGCAGATCGATTTCGCGGGAAAGACGTGAGTAGATCGATTTCGCGGGAGAGACGAGTTTGGAGAGCATTCAATCACTCTCCAATTGAAGCCAGCGGAAAAGCCGCGAGGGAAAATAGGAAGCTGTTTAGCTAGCCCGTTGGAGTGAGAATATTAGGCTGATATGAGCTAAAATAGCTAACAGTACCAATATACCTGTTCCCTTGGAGTTGCTCTTATAAATTGAACAATACCTACAAATGTGTTAGAAGTTAGAAGTTTTCTGGGGCTTGCTAACTATTACATAAGATTTGTAAAAGACTTCTCCAAACTTGCTATGCCATTGACACAGTTAACACAGAAAAATGAATCATTTGATTGGAACGATCAACGAGAATCAGCCTTTGAAGATTTAAAAACCAGATTAGTAACTGCACTAATTTTGACTTTGCCCAATGGTACTGATGA